TCGTGGGAAGCTCGCGGAATCGGCGTCTTTGGGCGGAGATTGAAGCTGAAGTGGATGAAATACTTACTTTCGATGTGAATGGCTTTCGAGACTATCAGTAATTTTTTGAATGAAAATTTAATCAGTCAAGGTCCCTTAAGATAATTGTTGTGCATTTCCTCTATCATGTGAATAGACCTCGGGATGTCATCTGGGGTAACTAAGCCTTTCTCCCCAAAAGACATTTTCATTCCGATAAAACTGGACTGCAGTCTCGAACTCGCCTGAATTGGCATCTTTATCGCTCGACAGAGGGTCTTAAATCCGAGTTGTAATAATACCTCGTATAATCTCGACGTATTACCACTACGCCACATTTCTACAAATGCCCTGAGCCACAGGACAAACGCGACCTTCAAGGCATGCCTGGCCTTTTCCTTATCACATTTTCTGTAGAGGAATTGTCGATAAGGTAAACTTTTTTTGCCCTTGCAAGCATGGCATTACTTATATTCGTATTGAGTAGGCTCTTTAAACTATAAGTTTAATCTTGAATAAGAGCCGGAGTTTTTAGATACCTACTTAATACGAATATGAGTAGTGTATTCTGTTGTTATAGAAAATAGCATTTGGCCTTAACGAAAATCTTTATTTAAAAATACGAGATGGGAAATTCCTGTCTGGTTTTGAAGCTCATGCCTGCCTTGTGACTCATGAGCATGCGTTGTAGTTGAGTGAAGTTGAGTGGAGTGGAGTGGTAATATCGCCACGGTACCCACGACCCTCCATCAAATCCCGCTTGGGTTACTGTTGGGACCTGAGCGAAGTTCGGAGCTCCAGTCTATCAAGGATGAGATAAGCTTTTGGGAAGCAGTGGTAGGTGAAATATACTAGCCTCGTGAGGCTCATTGAACTGATTGTGGGGAAAACTCAACTATCAGCTCCTAAATCGCCTTAAGCGACCTAAGCAGGATTTCTGAAGGACCTTTTGCCCAAATAGTCTTAGTCGGACGGCTTCTTGGAATGTGAAAAACTGCATTACTGACCGATAACCAATGCGACTCTGCCCATAACCCCACGCACAAGAGGAGGAAGGCGACAAATCACAGTCGGGGTGCATGGTTCCTCGTGTTTCGCTTCCGCCCCGGGACAGGCGGGTCGAGAGCCAATTTGCAGGAGTGTACAAGTCCCGGTCGGGACTCGAGCTGGCCCATTTCATTCTCCATTTGGGCAGCTGGAAGGCAGAACTCGTGACTTTGCAAGCCTCAGTTTGTCTTCTCTTCGAGTAATGAAGGGAAGAGTTGCGAGGAGCAACTTGCACAGAAATTGGAGGTCGGTCTGATTGGCAGGTAGGGCGGAAGATCCCTACCGTCTAAACTTGGCTTCGAAGTTAAATTGTCATAATCCAACCCGTCATTTCGGACCCCATTTTAGACATATGCTATGTTCGGAGGTAGCCTTGCTTCGGCTCGCGGCCACAAGCCTGGCGATGCGACCATGTTGGCAGAAGACATGCAAATGGCATTAACATGAAGGACACTTGATACCCTCACCGAAGTCAGCCTGGGAGAGTAGCCAGGATTCTGGAGCAGGCAGAAAGAAACATAGCAACCAATCAGGTCATAGTCATGACTCAAAATGCTTTGTCCCATTTTGTAGTTTCGACCTTGCTCAATGCATAAAGTGTCAACAGGTTCCCACGATGTCAAATAGCCACAGATGCCAATGAATCACAGGGCAGATATGACATTCAAGGCTAGCTGCTTCTATACGATTCCACGTTTTTATCAGTTTGGTGGTTTTCACATGGCATGAAA